TGGGGTTAGGGTGGGGCCATGCAAGCAGAAAAGAATAAAAGAACAGAGGATATTTCTCTCTTTGCCTGTTTACTGAATCCTTTTACGAAAGGACTGGACTGTACCTGAAGAAAGAGAAAGAGCATATAGTGTTCTTAGAGGATTGATATGGAACGATGATATCGTCTAAATAAATGAGACAAATTTCAAACTGCAAGCCTCTTAACACTGTCTCCATTAAACGCTCAAATGTGGCTGGCGCGTTGCACAGCCCAAATGGCATTACTGTAAATTCATAAAGAACACGTCTGGTAGTAAATGCCGTTTTCTGCTTGTCCTCAGGAGTGAAAGACACTTGCCAATAACCTGAACATAGGTCCAATGTGGAAAACCATTTGGCTCCTCTTAACTGGTCCAGAGAATCATCAATTCTTGGTAATGGATAGGCGTCGTTTTGTGTTACATTGTTCAGCTTACGATAGTCAATGCAAAATCTCGTGCTATCGTCCTTCTTCTTCACTAAAACAATGTTGGATGCCAAAGAACTACTTGCTGGCTCCATCACATTTCTCTTCAACATGTCATCAATGTGAACATCTACCTCTTTCTGCCTGTTGACTGGTATTCGCCTAGGGACTTGCTTTATTGGAGGATTGTATCTGTGTTGATTTTATGCTTTATTACATTTGTTCTTCCTAGATCTCTATCAGATTTTGCGAATGATGTCTGGTAACGCAAAAGTAACTTGAGGATAGCTTGCTTGTTCTTCCATGACATACCCTGACTTGATCTATCAAATAAACCATGTAAATGGCAATTCTGAAATGTCCTCCTTCCCTGTCATGCTTTTGCATACCGATGCAGCCATGACATTTTGAAGTGGATTAAGCTCAGCAATAAATGTTCCCTTCTTTAGTTGTTTAATTTCATTATGAACATTCATTAAACGCACAGGAACTTAGTTTTCCGTGCAATGCTCTACCAGTGCTCTGGCCACTAATGCTCTATCAGAGTTTTCAAACGGCTTGCATGGCTCGGCATGGCTCGACAATGTCCTCTGCAGGAACAACACAATGCATATCCAGACTGGATAAATTGCATTGCGTCAACATCTCACTCATATGTGGAATTGTTATGTCCTCCCCAAGAGATTAAACTCTGATACAGCCAATTTTACCCTTGTATCGACAGGAAATTGGTATTTTCTCTTGTCCAACTATCAGCGTACACCTTGAAAAATCTAAAGTACAGTTATTCATCTTCATGAAATCTAAACCAAGAATTCCAACAACACTCAGGTCTCCCACTATAACTTTGTGCTTGAAATACCTTCCCTGAATGTTGAACTGCAATGTTTGTTGACCATACACTCTCAGCGGCGTACCATCTGCTACCAAAATGTCAGACTTCAATCCCTCTAATTGTCTGTCGCTTGGCAAAATGTCTTAAGTTGCTTTCCTAGATATTAGAGTAACCGTTGCACCTGAATCCACCCAAAAAATCTAATGGTTTATCATTCACATCTATTTCTACAAACATACCTGATTCACCAGTTTTATTGATAAAGACTTTGATTTTGAAATGCAACGTTACGTTACTACGACGTCATATGACGTCACAGTCGAAACTTTCCAAATTGCCCGTGCTGATTTGCTTTCCATACGTAAGAAAGTCTGAACATGTGACCTACTGATGTCATTGAAAATTGAATTTCAACTTTATTAGCATTATAATATAAAGAAAGTCATCAGCAAATGTAAATATTGGCCTTTGAACCCCCTCTGGATGTTCATCTTCAGGAAGGCAAAGTGATGTTTTGTCGATGGTTGTCTCCACTACCTCACAATAACTGATTATGGATGTACTTATTGCCCCCAAAAGACATTAACATATTAAGAACGTTAATCTCCAATAATTTACTCTTCTCAGCAATTAAACTATGAATTCTAGACTTGGAATTTTCAGTTTACAAAATATGAAGATTGTACGAACTCGAAATCTTTCATTTGATGGAAGCTTTCCTCTGTCTTTGTTCTGAGGAAATTAAAAAGCTCTTGTGTCTGAACAGCATGCTTAGTCCTGTAGGATTTAATTTTTTTTCTGCTAATCGGTTGTCTTTTGCCTTCTTTGCTTGCATCAACAGATCTTATAAGGGAGTCACCTTTCATCTATAAGCTCGGTCGACGAATTGATTGCTTGAAGTGCTCAGCATCCTTTTACTATAGGGTCCCTGAAGGTGTTTGCGAAAACAAATTAACTATAAAGATAATAACTGCAAGGAAACTCAAAAACGTATTGAAAACTTAAGTTAAATAAGTACATGTTACTGCTTGGTACTAGAAAGATGCTTCCATCCACAATCCTATAACTAGCCCGTGTGAGCACGTCCTCAACGGCTACGTATTTCATCCAGAAAAATCTAAAGGTCTTTGTTTGCTAATAAAAAAATATAACTACAAAATTCGGTGGTGTTCGTTTTTTACCGATTGTTTTGTAGTGTTTAGAGGAGAGGTGTTACAAGATGGTGATTCTCAATAGAGGAGAAATTAAAACATATGAAACTCTCCTTGAGGGTCATTAAAAATGTAAAATATATATAGAAAGAAATATGCCTTAGTTAGGGAAAGTATTCTATAATTTTCAGAAAACTTCACAAAACGTATTTAAACAGAAATATAAGAGAGGCAAAATAATTCAAACTCGTGTTGTTCAGAATAAATAATTCTGAAAACCCAACTCACAACTGGCAATTAGCTTCGGTGCAAACTGGGAATCATAAACACATTTCCAGCCTTGAATTTACCTGACAATCTTCTAAAAGTTGACTTGCGTGAATAAGATTTCTTTAAAAAATCTTTCAATTAATAAGATTTCTTTAAAAAATCTTTTAATTTCATTTACAGTTGTCTAAATTACATGCATCCTATTTTGTGGGAACTTATAGTGAAAATATGTCATGTTCAACACTCGTTTGTTTTTTTTTAATTATAAACATTTATTGCCTTGCAACAAGATCTATAACGGCATCTGTTAGCCAGCGCTTTGGCCCCAAGGACCTCAGGTCAGCCGCGTATAGGTCTATTCCCATTTCTATTCTTTGATTGCATTTATCAGTGAAATAAATATTTCATACTTAAAAGTATATATAAAATAAAATCATTTAGAATAAAAAATAAGGAGATCTTAAAAGGACATAATAAGAATTTTTATATCTATTTTAATTAGATTCTTATATTGAAAATATAAGATGAATTGTAGACTGAATGCAGAAAGAATTCAATAATAAAATAATACAAACAAGGAAATTATAAGCATGATTGGCTGAGAGAAATCACGTGATCAGATTTGATTGGTGAGGGGATAAATGGGTCAACTGAGTGCAGTGCTAACCCTAACCCCCTAGCCCTAACCCTAACCCTAACCCTAACCCTAACCCTAACCTAAACCTAACCCTAACCCTAACCCTAACCCTAACCTAACCCTAACCCTAACCCTAACCCTAACCCCTAACCCTAACCCCTAACCCTAACCCTAACCCTAACCCTAACCCCTAACCCTAACCCTAACCCTAACCCTAACCCTAACCCTAACCCTAACCCTAACCCCCTAACCCTAACCCTAACCCTAACCCCCTAACCCTATCCCCCTAACCCTAACTAACCCTAAATACCCCTAGTGTTTACACTGTGTTTACATGGGTACGTAGGTACTACGTTTTTTTTTTTATGCTGACTATACAGGTAAAAATGCGCCGTGTGCAAAAAACATTACAAGAATGTGATTATGACGTCACGCTTCACAGTCTAGACAGTCCTATAACCGGTTTGAACTGGTTTTACTGAAAGACAAGAAACAAAAAACAAAACACAAACACAGATTTTGATTTTTATTCAATTTTTATTCAGAATGAAAATACAATACATACAATTTACATTTTCTGTTTCTTCTTCTTTCTGTCCCTTTTCTGGTCAGGGATAGTTTCCTCTTGTGTAGTTTGGGGCCTGGAATCTCTCTCTTTTTTCTTCTTCCTTTTCTCTTTCTTCTGTCTTTTTTTCACTAAAGGTTTGGTCTGGTGGGTCCCTAATGAAATCTGGGTTTTCCTTTTTCCATTTTTTTCCAGTTTTTTCTCAGTTTTCTTTCACTAACTGGTGTGTCTTCCTTCCTTGTTGGCGAATCTTTTCCATCACTTCTTTTCTAAAATGGTCATATCTTCCTTTCATTATAGATCATTAATCTCTGTCAAAAGCTTTCTTTTTATTTAGGATAAGGCACAAATAATTCTTTCATCTAGATCTAAAAGATCCTGTGTTTCTGGTACAGAATTCCTTTGTATTTTCCTCTGCCATATTTTACCTGTGTCCAGTTAAAAGTAATCACACAGAATGATCCTCATTATTCCAGCTCTGGTTTATATATATACTGGATATTTTTTAGGGCCCTGTGCATCAATACGTTTTACCTACGTTTTCTTATATATACCTGTTTGCATCCCCTATAAAGTGCCGTGTGCAAAAAACTGAGGGTCGTGTGCAAAAGAAATATACCTTTTACCTGTGTTTTCTTATATATACCTGTTTGCATCCTCTGTAAAGTGCCGTGTGCAAAAAACTTACCTATGCATTGTGACGTCATCCACTGTATAAATACAATGTGATTATGACGTCACACTTTTTCATTTACAGTCTAGACAGCCTAGTCTAGCCAGCCTAACCAGTTTGAACTGAATTTTTTACTGAAAGACAATAACAAATAACACACAATACAAAAAACATGTGTGTGTTATGTCTGTCAAGTTATAACACCAGGTCACTTTTTTAAAAAACTTAGAATTTCTTTTTAAATTTTTTAAACTTTTTTTAAAATTAACTTTAAATTTTTTAACTTTTAACTTTTTTAAAATAACTTTAAATTTTTTTTTTCTTATTTTTTTTTTTTTTTTTTTGGTAAACTCCCCTTATAGTTTTTAAGAAATAAAATAAAAAAAAATCATGTAATACTACATCAGTGTTATGTTATTGTATGACTTCATCTTTTATACAGTCGGGTTCGGGGTTTCGGGCAGCCATGGCGAATTTCGGCAAGATTTTACCCCAGTGAAAAAGGCTTGTAATCCACAGTGTAGGTCGTTTAAAGTTGTTTCACATTGTTTATGATTGTGATTATGTTATCGCTCACCTATATGTTTAATGTCAGCTATGCTAAATAACCCATTTCTGTGTAATTTGAGAGAATGTTTTGACATGTGGTTAAAGTATGGCGTGCTATTCATGTTATCATTTAAAAAGTCGATCCTAAATAAATCTGTCTTAAAAAATACATTTTACGAATGACATTTAATATGATTGATTAGAGTATAGGTATCCATATATAAGAGATATTATTTTGCATTACATTTAAACATGTTTTTCTGTCCTGTTTGTCTGTCAATTGTTGCTTTACTTCCTTTGTAAAATGAGGTTAAATTGAGTATCACTGAATATTGTATGCTTTTTTTCAGGATCAGCTAAGATGTTGTTTCACTGGATTATTTAATTGGGCATATAATTGGATAATTCTGGTAAGTTTGTCTTTGTTTTGTTTACATTTCCTAATGTCATCTTTGCATTTAATCATAATTATGTAAAGTTCTGTTTTGAATGTAAATACTATATTTATCCTCATTTCATGTGATTTACACTTGTACATGTATAACCTGCATGTAACTCAGAGTACATTTAATATTTCTATGATGGGTCATTCTATGATTGAATTTAAATCAGAAAAATATTCACTAAATTTTGGTAAAATACATGGTATCTTTTACATTTCTGTCCCTTTTGTCTGTAAATTATTGCTTTACTTACATTGTAAAATGAGGTTAATTGTGTATCACTGAATTGTATGATTTTTTTTCAGGATCAGCCGAGATGTTATTTCACTGGATTATTTAATGGATAGACTAATTGGGCATATAGTTGAATATCTCTGGTAAGTTTGTCTTGTTTTTTAATTGTTTATACATTTCCTATGATGGTCATCTTTGCATTTAAGCATGATTATATGGTTAATTTAATTACTGTGTAATACTTATGTGATCTGTTGTCTCTAACTTACATTCATATAAGCACACCCTTATTTAACCTAAAATATATTAACACATGATTAAGGGAACTTCAGAATATTAATAAGACCTTTTGTATAAATTATATGATTTAATTTCATAATTCATTATGTATGTTACCCATGGCCATGGAATTCAGACTTACTAAATGGTGATCAAAGAGATATTAATTAGGAATCTAATAAGAGAAAAGGAGGAATTTACAAAAGATTAATCCTAAGTTATTTACTTTTTGTTTTGATTCTAAATATGTGGGATATATGGCATACATATATTTTCATTTTCACTTTTGTTTCTTAGTAATGAGCTTTTCAAAAAATTAAGGACTACATGTTGTACTGTGATGATGCTAAAAAAGATGTATTTTTCTGTATGCAGTACTGACAGATATTAAACAAAATTGAATCTGCTGTTAATAAAAAATCTTTTAGTGTCTAAATAATTAATTTGATAATCATTTTATTTGTGATATCAATACAGTAATTGTGCTTTTTTTTTTATTATCTAAAGATAACATGATGAACTTTTCTCATCTGGAGTTAATGTTAAAAACAATTTGTTTTGAGATTAAAAACAAACATTTTCATGAACTTTTTTGGCATTGTACATGTTTGTTCAATTTTTAAACATGCATTGTTTCACACAGTACTCTGTCATATTAACAAAATGGTTTTATTTTCTATACAGTCCTCAACCTGGAAGATATGTTTTGTTCCTAACCATCTATAATCCATTCTCTATGAAGTTCAGACTGTCTGCTCTTCCTTTGGAAATACACAGTTAGTCAACCAACATAGAAACACACAAACTTGAAGGTAAAGTTTCAATGAGATACAATTGTAATATATATTTATTTATTATTTTATTATTTTTTTTTTTACATATGCATGTTTATATTTTTGAATTGATATGTAAATGATATATTTAAATAAAGAGGGGTTGATGGTCATGGTCATGTTAAGACTATATTGATCTCCTTTAGAAGAAGAAGAAGAGCTCCATTTCAATATATATATACAAAAATGCATGATCAAATTTTGAAACTAAAATGTATGAAAGTTTTCTTTGCCAAATGATAGTTAACAGCTGAAGATAGCATATCTATAGAATAAGTTAAATATGGCTAATTTGTAACCCCCCCCCCCCCCCCCCCCCCAAGCTTCCTTAATATCATAGTTGGTAAAGATAGCAAGTTTTGACTCCAATTGCTGATGAATTCTGAATTTCCCATTTAATATTAACATTATATCACAGGGAAAGAATACTATAATGTAGCACATCAGGATGACCAGAAAAGAAATCTTAATGACCCTCTTAACTATGTATAAAGACTGTAACCTTATAACTGATGTAAGATAATCTGATTGTGTGGAATTAAAATTCCCTGGTGTTTCTACTACCCAAGATCTTCTTATGAGTGCATGGGACTGTTGTAAACCTTCTCCTGTTTATAAAAAATATACCTTGGAGCATGACACTTTATTCATAAAAGGTACTTTCAATATCATTTCTATGAGTTTTTGTTCTTTCTTTTTAATAATCTAGTGTTATATCTCATTTAAACCCATTAATATGTATGCTTCCAAAATCTTAGATCTGTCTGTATAGTTTTTTCAGCTCTTTGAACACAAATACCCTGATTCAATCTTTTGAGGTAAACATGATAGAGACATCATAGATGATTATCAGAGTGTGTATCACAATCTTAACCATAAGGTCAATTTAAATGGTCTAAGGCACAACAAATGAAAGTGAAAACTTTTTTTTTTTTATTAGAATACATAATTTTGTAATAAACAAATACTGGAAAAGTTACTCTCATAATAAGCCTTAATGTCCTCCAAGAATTCAGTTTGGACTTCCTCCATTAATCCTTGTATCTTCTCCAATGGTTTTGTGGGCTAAAATTCATGTGTCTTTAACAACATTTTTTTTTCTGACAACTGTTTTCTCTTATCATCTATAAACTTGACTTCTTCTCTAGTCAAAGGTCTTTCAGGGTAATCCAAGTAATTCTTACCCTCTTTTGGTAATAAATGGTTATATTCTTCATTGGCTTCTTCTGCAGTCAAGGGTCTTTCTATGTAATCTCTGACAACATTAGGATCACCCCTTCTCTGGACTTAATTGATTATATTCTTGTTGAGAAATGATCTCAATAGTGCCATCTTTTTTTATTTTAACTGGTATACCTCTGTCTATATCTTTCTCTGAAAGAACTCTCTTTCCAAACTGAATTTTACTCATTCCTTTACTCTTTTCTTTACTGGAGGTGTTACCCATGGTTAATATGAAAAAGTCAAAATCTTATGTTACAACTTGTATTTATACCCTTTTTGTCTATATTTAGAATTCCATCAAGCTTATATTGTATAACAATTTTTTTTTTTTCAACTAAGACTTCTTTTTTTTTTTTTTTTTTTCAGGATTCTCTAGTGAGGGCTTATGGAAATGATCTATGTCTACTCTCAGAATGGTGAAAGACTATCAGATTATGCAAAGACTAACAGAATATCCTCTCTTGGAACACTGAAACAAGAAAATCAAACTGGAGGTGGATGGAGGATTAAAGAAGCACATAGATAAATATGATTTCCAACGAATTTAATCAGTATTATCATAGACTGTGGTTTACAGGATGACAAAGTAACAGGATTGTATCTTTTTACTGTCAGACACTGACTATGGATAAGATGTACCCATTTATTAAACTGAGATCTAGTCAAATCAAGTACAATTGTATTGAAAATATGATTTTCTGATAGCATGAACTCTTTAAAAATTAATTCTCACAGACCTCAAAGTATCTGAATGTGACTTTTATTTTTACCAATTTCTATTGAAGACTGTTGTTATGTATGAGAAGTATACATTTAAACCTTTTATTTTTCATCTTATTTCTATAACCCCCTAGAAATTACACAGATATTCAGATGCTGGATTTAATATTATTATTTAACTTTCCTGGAATGGTAAATATATTTTGTTTGTGTATGTATCATTTTTTAATTTTGAATTTAAAATTGGTCTCAATAAGACCCCCAATAAAGATGCAAGTGTCCCATAATCTGTGGTTTAATAATATCTTGAATATCTTTATCATATCATATTCATCATACTAATTACATATTGAATGTTTGTAGGAATACACTTTGTTGTTTAGGACACTTTGTCAAGGTCAAAGCATAAGATTATTGAGATGACTTCTTTGACAATAATTTGTAACTTACAAACTTCACATCATAAGTACACAGATGAAGAATCAATAAGATATTTCTATAGATTTTTTGGATCATTTACTCCTGGGTAAAAGTTAGTTACTAACTGAGATTACTGATTTGAATCCTGTAATGCAATAACTTAAACATTGTGTGATAACTTATAGACTTTATAAAAATTAGGTGCAAATTCTTAGGAAAGGATTGAAATGTAAATCATATGCACTATGTTCAAGGATGTTTAAAGACTATTACTATGTAATACCTTAGAATTCTGTAAAAAATTTATTATCACTGCGTAGATAAAGACTGGTTGGAATAATTTATGTTTTGAAATAAGAAAAAAAAGTCAAGAATGTGGATATGACTTTTATTCAAATGGTGCAGTTCAGCAACTCTGGTGATTTACATACCTTCAGTCATAAATACATGTAGATAGGTATTGGGAAGACTCCTCTAGATTTTGAAATTTTTAAATCAAAAGTATAGAATTTAAGTTTGAAAGATTAAATGGCAGCATATCATTTGCTTGTGAATTAAAAAATAAATCCAAACATATACATCTTTGGATGATAATTGTAGAATTTTATCAATTCCTGGAGTTCAGTCTTGATATCATCCTTTAATGTCCTTAAAATTTTAATGACTGTCTTTTAGTTTTAGTTGAATTAGTTTCTTTTCTAAATGTGAAAATGACATCATCCAAAGAAGTTCTTCATCTGCATGTTATATGAAGAAGACAATTTTCATCACAGTGACAGAGATTGTTTTGTTAAACATATTGCATTGATGCACAAATATACTTTTAGATTTTTAATAGCTAGAGTTCATATTTCTTAATATTGAATGCTAAGTACTGTTGATTTCAATTTTTTGTGAACAAAGACATACTAGTAGAAAAAAAAATGTACATGATGTGTTAGAAAAGCATGTGTAAACCTGATGACTTTATAATTGCTGATTAAATCAATTATGAGTTTCATCTTTGTTACATTGTAAACATTTCTAAGTAGTGCACACATCAGAAAACACTTAAAATTCTGAGTATCAGGGTTTAACACAACAATTCCAAATGATTTTTGGACGCTTTTTATGTATCAATAAAAAAGACAAAACAGAATGTTTGTTCACAGATGTTCCAATGGAAAACAACCACAAAGAAATGATTTGATATGTTCTCTATGTGATTCATGTAAAATGTATTTTAAAATTGTATCCTAACATTTATCTTTTGCATAAATACATTTTTTGTGGAGAATTTCTCATAACTTTGAAAAAAGTAGTCTTATTGTATAATATGGTTAACTTAAAATTTTGTAGACTTAAAAGTTGTACATGATGTGTTACACATCTTACATATGTAACCATTTCATTTCAGGGCATTCAGCATATATTGTGGTTTTGTCTTAAATTTGTTTGTTCATGTAATCAATAATTTGAGAATACTCAACTCAAATTAGGTAATGCATGAGAGAATAGGTAAGAAAATCAGGTTTAAGAAATGATTTTTACTATTTATAAGGGGTTAGTCTATATATTGAATCTATAAGTACATTTAGTCTATACACTTAAGGTATTTGTTTATGAAATAAACTTGCATTTGAGCATTTTTAGACAATTGTAAACATTACTTTAACCAGTTTAAAAAATGATTAGATTCACTGTTAGCATGTAATTCCTTGTAAAATAAATGAGAAAACAAACAATTTTATTTGAGTCAGTTTTTTTTTTTTTTTTTTTTTTTGAATGTAAATAAGAAGCATTGGAAGTTGGGAATATTTCACAAAGTTGATTGAGCATAATTCTCACTAGGACAGTAGGAGTATAATGATTTAAGCATTAAAGAAACCATTTCATATTTCAATATACAAACCATGTTTAGTCAAGCAGTATATAGTTTACTCTTGCCAAAAAGTAAATGGTATCTCTATTCAGGGTCAATCCAAAGGTAAAAAAGAAATGAAAAAATATATTTCTCTTTATGTATCAAACATGTAGGTATTATTGCCATAAATTCACTGTATTCATTTTTAGTCCTCTTTCTATGTATGAATAGCTCTGATTTAGGCAATCAAAATACAAAAAGCAAATGAGTTATGTCAAATGATGAAGGTATACACCATAAATTAACATGGACAGAGAATTCTGAGTTTCCCTCAAATATGGCCGCCAAGTGATGTGAAATAAAAACAAAATGTGGATTCATCTATTAGGATTGAGACTTGTACATATTATGAATGATGGGTACTATGACATTAAGAATGACATGAAAGAAATAAGTTTGATTCAATTATATAAACAGTTCTTAATCCATACAGTCAAAATGGAGGGCATATATTTTTCTTTATAGGCATAAAGTAACAAACACTCACCCAATCCATCAAAATTTTACTTTTTGAAGAAAAGGAACCCTACTTACTTTGTTGAGTTGACATTCAAATTTTTTGTTTGACAGGTAGACTAATAGTTTCTGACTAGTATAATGAGAACTTTATATTTAAGGGTCATCAGATTGTTCTGATATTTTGGTTAAGATATCTGCATGACATCAATTAATTTGTTCATACAAAGGGATAAAAGCTTTTCCAGGTTTCCTCTTTACTCAGATTAGATTGTGTCTTGTTAATATATCCAACATATAAGATACTCATCAAAGTCAAACAAAGGTAAATAAATGACCTTATTAAGTTTTTAGTCAAAAGGTCAAAGAGATGTGGACATCTTGTTTAATTGGACAATTGTTTAGTTAATATTCACCAAACTTCATGGATAGGTTAATTAAACAAACTTCATATATTTTGATTTTCAGGTCAAAGATCAGCACAATTTTTGCTATACCATTGTTGTCCATGAATATCTTAACACCTCTATTGACTTTTCAGGTTAAAGGTCAATGCATTCCTGCTACAGTAAAACTTCATTATAAGGATCTCGTAGTGATATTCTTTATTTGTAAGGAATAAGGTAATTATAAAATCTCCTACTCTTTCTATAATATGTCACTGAATGTGCTCCTTTATTTTAGAGAGTTTTACAAGCAAATCATATACTGACTTTCAATCCTTCAAAATACAATTTATATTGAATCTTGAGATTCAGACTTTCAGACTTTTAGGCTTTCAGACTCTCAGGCTTTCAATCTTTAAAAACTTTCAAGCTGGAGGACTGAGTATTTTAATATTTATTTTGTAAGTCTTGTCTTTTATGTCATTATGATGAATCCTTAGTAATTCAAACTTTTCATGTTTGTAAAACTATAGTGTGAAAGTACAGTGTTTGTGTAATCTTCTTAATATTTATCTAAAATTACTGCTTTTAATACAGTCAAATTTAATTTGTGATGATCAAAATTTCCAAATTACCTGACCTGTACATATTTAAAGTTTCAATATCATACACTCTTGAATATCCTTAAATATCAATATATTGATTAAGCATTTGCTATCAACCATACACTTGTTAACCTAAGGAAGGCTCTTACCATAAGTTAAACTCATGGAATTCTTCAAGCAATTTTGAAGAATTTCTGTTATAAAGGATGCTAAAGACAAAAGACCCATAAATTTCCTAGAAGTAATAATTGTTAAAACTACATATCCACATTAAATTGGGGAACATTTTTATAAAGGAAAAGGGTTCTTCAAATGTTCCCCAATTTAATGTGGATATGTAGTTTTAACAATTATTACTTCTAGGAAATTTATGGGTGTCTTTAGCATCCTTTATAACAGAAATTCTTCAAAATTGCTTGAAGAATTCCATGAGTTTAACTTATGGTAAGAGCCTTCCTTAGGTTAACAAGTGTATGGTTGATAGCAAATGCTTAATCAATATATTGATATTTAAGGATATTCAAGAGTGTATGATATTGAAACTTTAAATATGTACAGGTCAGGTAATTTGGAAATTTTGATCATCACAAATTAAATTTGACTGTATTAAAAGCAGTAATTTTAGATAAATATTAAGAAGATTACACAAACACTGTACTTTCACACTATAGTTTTACAAACATGAAAAGTTTGAATTACTAAGGATTAATCATAATGACATAAAAGACAAGACTTACAAAATAAATATTAAAATACTCAGTCCTCCAGCTTGAAAGTTTTTAAAGATTGAAAGCCTGAGAGTCTGAAAGCCTAAAAGTCTGAAAGTCTGAATCTCAAGATTCAATATAAATTGTATTTTGAAGGATTGAAAGTCAGTATATGATTTGCTTGTAAAACTCTCTAAAATAAAGGAGCACATTCAGTGACATATTATAGAAAGAGTAGGAGATTTTATAATTACCTTATTCCTTACAAATAAAGAATATCACTACGAGATCCTTATAATGAAGTTTTACTGTAGCAGGAATGCATTGACCTTTAACCTGAAAAGTCAATAGAGGTGTTAAGATATTCATGGACAACAATGGTATAGCAAAAATTGTGCTGATCTTTGACCTGAAAATCAAAATATATGAAGTTTGTTTAATTAACCTATCCATGAAGTTTGGTGAATATTAACTAAACAATTGTCCAATTAAACAAGATGTCCACATCTCTTTGACCTTTTGACTAAAAACTTAATAAGGTCATTTATTTACCTTTGTTTGACTTTGATGAGTATCTTATATGTTGGATATATTAACAAGACACAATCTAATCTGAGTAAAGAGGAAACCTGGAAAAGCTTTTATCCCTTTGTATTAATTGATGTCATGCAGATATCTTAACCAAAATATCAGAACAATCTGATGACCCTTAAATATAAAGTTCTCATTATACTAGTCAGAAACTATTAGTCTACCTGTCAAACAAAAAATTTGAATGTCAACTCAACAAAGTAAGTAGGGTTCCTTTTCTTCAAAAAGTAAAATTTTGATGGATTGGGTGAGTGTTTGTTACTTTATGCCTATAAAGAAAAATATATGCCCTCCATTTTGACTGTATGGATTAAGAACTGTTTATATAATTGAATCAAACTTATTTCTTTCATGTCATTCTTAATGTCATAGTACCCATCATTCATAATATGTACAAGTCTCAATCCTAATAGATGAATCCACATTTTGTTTTTATTTCACATCACTTGGCGGCCATATTTGAGGGAAACTCAGAATTCTCTGTCCATGTTAATTTATGGTGTATACCTTCATCATTTGACATAACTCATTTGCTTTTTGTATTTTGATTGCCTAAATCAGAGCTATTCATACATAGAAAGAGGACTAAAAATGAATACAGTGAATTTATGGCAATAATACCTACATGTTTGATACATAAAGAGAAATATATTTTTTCATTTCTTTTTTACCTTTGGATTGACCCTGAATAGAGATACCATTTACTTTTTGGCAAGAGTAAACTATATACTGCTTGACTAAACATGGTTTGTATATTGAAATATGAAATGGTTTCTTTAATGCTTAAATCATTATACTCCTACTGTCCTAGTGAGAATTATGCTCAATCAACTTTGTGAAATATTCCCAACTTCCAATGCTTCTTATTTACATTTAAAAAAAAAAAAAAACTGACTCAAATAAAATTGTTTGTTTTCTCATTTATTTTACAAGGAATTACATGCTAACAGTGAATCTAATCATTTTTTAAACTGGTTAAAGTAATGTTTACAATTGTCTAAAAATGCTCAAATGCAAGTTTATTTCATAAACAAATACCTTAAGTGTATAGACTAAATGTACTTATAGATTCAATATATAGACTAACCCCTTATAAATAGTAAAAATCATTTCTTAAACCTGATTTTCTTACCTATTCTCTCATGCATTACCTAATTTGAGTTGAGTATTCTCAAATTATTGATTACATGAACAAACAAATTTAAGACAAAACCACAATATATGCTGAATGCCCTGAAATGAAATGGTTACATATGTAAGATGTGTAACACATCATGTACAACTTTTAAGTCTACAAAATTTTAAGTTAACCATATTATACAATAAGACTACTTTTTTCAAAGTTATGAGAAATTCTCCACAAAAAATGTATTTATGCAAAAGATAAATGTTAGGATACAATTTTAAAATACATTTTACATGAATCACATAGAGAACATATCAAATCATTTCTTTGTGGTTGTTTTCCATTGGAACATCTGTGAACAAACATTCTGTTTTGTCTTTTTTATTGATACATAAAAAGCGTCCAAAAATCATTTGGAATTGTTGTGTTAAACCCTGATGCTCAGATAGGACTGTAGAATTTTAAGTGTTTTCTGATGTGTGCACTACTTAGAAATGTTTACAATGTAACAAAGATGAAACTCATAATTGATTTAATCAGCAATTATAAAGTCATCAGGTTTACACATGCTTTTCTAACACATCATGTACATTTTTTTTTCTACTAGTATGTCTTTGTTCACAAAAAATTGAAATCAACAGTACTTAGCATTCCATATTAAGAAATATGAACTCTAGCTATTAAAAATCTAAAAGTATATTTGTGCATCAATGCAATATGTTTAACAAAACAATCTCTGTCACTGTGATGAAAATTGTCTTCTTCATATAACATGCAGATGAAGAACTTCTTTGGATGATGTCATTTTCACATTTAGAAAAGAAACTAATTCAACTAAAACTAAAAGACAGTCATTAAAATTTTAAGGACATTAAAGGATGATATCAAGACTGAACTCCAGGAATTGATAAAATTCTACAATTATCATCCAAAGATGTATATGTTTGGATTTATTTTTTAATTCACAAGCAAATGATATGCTGCCATTTAATCTTTCAAACTTAAATTCTATACTTTTGATTTAAAAATTTCAAAATCTAGAGGAGTCTTCCCAATACCTATCTACATGTATTTATGACTGAAGGTATGTAAATCACCAGAGTTGCTGAACTGCACCATTTGAATAAAAGTCATATCCACATTCTTGACTTTTTTCCCTAAACCTTATTTCAAAACATAAATTATTCCAACCAGTCTTTATCTACGCAGTGATAATAAATTTTTTACAGAATTCTAAGGTATTACATAGTAATAGTCTTTAAACATCCTTGAACATAGTGCATATGATTTACATTTCAATCCTTTCCTAAGAATTTGCACCTAATTTTTATAAAGTCTATAAGTTATCACACAATGTTTAAGTTATTGCATTACAGGATTCAAATCAGTAATCTCAGTTAGTAACTAACTTTTACCCAGGAGTAAATGATCCAAAAAATCTATAGAAATATCTTTTTGATTCTTCATCTGTGTACTTATGATGTGAAGTTTGTAAGTTACAAATTATTGTCAAAGAAGTCATCTCAATAATCTTATGCTTTGACCTTGACAAAGTGTCCTAAACAACAAAGTGTATTCCTACAAACATTCAATATGTAATTAGTATGATGAATATGATATGATAAAGATATTCAAGATATTATTAAACCACAGATTATGGGACACTTGCATCTTTATTGGGGGTCTTATTGAGACCAATTTTAAATTCAAAATTAAAAAATGATACATACACAAACAAAATATATTTACCATTCCAGGAAAGTTAAATAATAATATTAAATCCAGCATCTGAATATCTGTGTAATTTCTAGGGGGTTATAGAAATAAGATGAAAAATAAAAGGTTTAAATGTATACTTCTCATACATAACAACAGTCTTCAATAGAAATTGGTAAAAATAAAAGTCACATTCAGATACTTTGAGGTCTGTGAGAATTAATTTTTAAAGAGTTCATGCTATCAGAAAATCATATTTTCAATACAATTGTACTTGATTTGACTAGATCTCAGTTTAATAAATGGGTACATCTTATCCATAGTCAGTGTCTGACAGTAAAAAGATACAATCCTGTTACTTTGTCATCCTGTAAACCACAGTCTATGATAATACTGGTTAAATTCGTTGGAAATCATATTTATCTATGTGCTTCTTAAATCCTCCATCCATCTCCTGTTTGATTTTCTTGTTTCAGTGTTCCAAGAGAGGATATTCTGTTAGTCTTTGCATAATCTGATAGTCTTTCACCATTCTGAGAGTAGACATAGATCATTTCCATAAGCCCTCACTAGAGAATCCTGAAAAATATAAAAAAAAGGTCTTAGTTGAAAAAAAAAAAAAATTGTTATATAATATAAGCTTGATGGAATTCTAAATATAGACAAAAAGGGTATAAATACAAGTTGTAACATAAGATTTTGACTTTTTCATATTAACCATGGGTAACACCTCCAGTAAAGAAAAGAGTAAAGGAATGAGTAAAATTCAGTTTGGAAAGAGAGTTCTTTCAGAGAAAGATATAGACAGAGGTATACCAGTTAAAATAAAAAAAGATGGCACTATTGAGATCATTTCTCAACAAGAATATAATCAATTAAGTCCAGAGAAGGGTGATCCTAATGTTGTCAGAGATTACATAGAAAGACCCTTGATTGCAGAAGAAGCCAATGAGAAATATAACCATTTATTACCAAAAGAGGGTAAGAATTACTTGGATTACCCTGAAAGACCTTTGACTAGAGAAGAAGTCAAGTTTATAGATGATAAGAGAAAACAGTTGTCAGAAAAAAAATGTTGTTAAAGACACATGAATTTTAGCCCACAAAACCATTGGAGAAGATACAAGGATTAATGGAGGAAGTCCAAACTGAATTCTTGGAGGACATTAAGGCTTATTATGAGAGTAACTTTTCCAGTATTTGTTTATTACAAAATTATGTATTCTAATAAAAAAAAAGTTTTCACTTTCATTTGTTGTGCCTTAGACCATTTAAATTGACCTTATGGTTAAGATTGTGATACACACTCTGATAATCATCTATGATGTCTCTATCATGTTTACCTCAAAAGATTGAATCAGGGTATTTGTGTTCAAAGAGCTGAAAAAACTATACAGACAGATCTAAGATTTTGGAAGCATACATATTAATGGGTTTAAATGAGATATAACACTAGATTATTAAAAAGAAAGAACAAAAACTCATAGAAATGATATTGAAAGTACCTTTTATGAATAAAGTGTCATGCTCCAAGGTATATTTTTTATAAACAGGAGAAGGTTTACAACAGTCCCATGCACTCATAAGAAGATCTTGGGTAGTAGAAACACCAGGGAATTTTAATTCCACACAATCAGATTATCTTACATCAGTTATAAGGTTACAGTCTTTATACATAGTTAAGAGGGTCATTAAGATTTCTTTTCTGGTCATCCTGATGTGCTACATTATAGTATTCTTTCCCTGTGATATAATGTTAATATTAAATGGGAAATTCAGAATTCATCAGCAATTGGAGTCAAAACTTGCTATCTTTACCAACTATGATATTAAGGAAGCTGGGGGGGGGGGGGGGGTTACAAATTAGCCATATTTAACTTATTCTATAGATATGCTATCTTCAGCTGTTAACTATCATTTGGCAAAGAAAACTTTCATACATTTTAGTTTCAAAATTTGATCATGCATTTTTGTATATATATTGAAATGGAGCTCTTCTTCTTCTTCTAAAGGAGATCAATATAGTCTAAAAAATGACCATGACCACCAAGCCCTTTTTATTTAAATATATCATTTACATATCAATTCAAAATTATAAACATGCATATGTAAAAAAAAAAATAAAATAATAAATAAATATATATTACAATTGTATCTCATTGAAACTTTACCTTCAAGTTTGTGTGTTTCTATGTTGGTTGACTAACTGTGTATTTCCAAAGGAAGAGCAGACAGTCTGAACTTCATAGAGAATGGATTATAGATGGTTAGGAACAATACATATCTTCCAGGTTGAGGACTGTATAGAAAATAAAACCATTTTGTTAATATGACAGAGTACTGTGTGAAACAATGCATGTTTAAAAATTGAACAAACATGTACAATGCCAAAAAAGTTCATGAAAATGTTTGTTTTTAATCTCAAAACAAATTGTTTTTAACATTAACTCCAGATGAGAAAAGTTCATCATGTTATCTTTAGATAATAAAAAAAAGCACAATTACTGTATTGATATCACAAATAAAATGATTATCAAATTAATTATTTAGACACTAAAAGATTTTTTATTAACAGCAGATTCAATTTTGTTTAATATCTGTCAGTACTGCATACAGAAAAATACATCTTTTTTAGCATCATCACAGTACAACATGTAGTCCTTAATTTTTTGAAAAGCTCATTACTAAGAAACAAAAGTGAAAATGAAAATATATGTATGCCATATATCCCACATATTTAGAATCAAAACAAAAAGTAAATAACTTAGGATTAATCTTTTGTAAATTCCTCCTTTTCTCTTATTAGATTCCTAATTAATATCTCTTTGATCACCATTTAGTAAGTCTGAATTCCATGGCCATGGGTAACATACATAATGAATTATGAAATTAAATCATATAATTTATACAAAAGGACTTATTAATATTCTGAAGATCCCTTAATCATGTGTTAATATATTTTAGGTTAAATAAGGGTGTGCTTATATGAATGTAAGTTAGAGACAACAGATCACATAAGTATTACACAGTAATTAAATTAACCATATAATCATGCTTAAATGCAAAGATGGCCATCATAGGAAATTTAAACAATCTAAAAAACAAGACAAACTTACCAGAGATATCCAAATATATGCCCAATAAGTCTATCCATTAAATAATCCAGTGAAATAACATCTCAGTTGATCCTGAAAAAAATCATACAATATTCAGTGATACACAATTAACCTCATTTTACAATGTAAGTAAAGCAATAATTTACAGACAAAAGGGACAGAAATGTAAAAGATACCATGTATTTTACCGAAATTTAGTGAATATTTTTCTGATTTAAATTCAATCATAGAATGACCCATCATAGAGACATATTAAATGCACTCTGTGTTACATGCAGGTTATACACGTGTAAATCACATGAAATGAGGATAAATATAGTATTTACATTCAAAACAGAACTTTACATAATTATGATTAAATGCAAAGATGACCTTAGGAAATGTAAACAAAACAAAGACAAACTTACCAGAATTATCCAATTATATGCCCAATTAAATAATCCAGTGAAACAACATCTTAGTTGATCCTGAAAAAAAAGCATACAATATTCAGTGATACTCAATTTAACCTCATTTTACAAAGGAAGTAAAGCAACAATTGACAGACAAACAGGACAGAAAAACATGTTTAAATGTAATGCAAAATAATATCTCTTATATATGGATACCTATACTCTAATCAATCATATTAAATGTCATTCGTAAAATGTATTTTTTAAGACAGATTTATTTAGGATCGACTTTTTAAATGATAACATGAATAGCACGCCATACTTTAACCACATGTCAAAACATTCTCTCAAATTACACAGAAATGGGTTATTTAGCATAGCTGACATTAAACATATAGGTGAGCGATAACATAATCACAATCATAAACAATGTGAAACAACTTTAAACGACCTACACTGTGGATTACAAGCCTTTTTCACTGGGGTAAAATCTTGCCGAAATTCGCCATGGCTGCCCGAAACCCCGAACCCGACTGTATAAAAGATGAAGTCATACAATAACATAACACTGATGTAGTATTACATGATTTTTTTTATTTTATTTCTTAAAAACTATAAGGGGAGTTTACCAAAAAAAAATTAATAAGAAAAAAAAAATTTAAAGTTATTTTAAAAAAGTTAAAAGTTAAAAAATTTAAAGTTAATTTTAAAAAAAGTTTAAAAAATTTAAAAAGAAATTCTAAGTTTTTTAAAAAAGTGACCTGGTGTTATAACTTGACAGACATAACACACACATGTTTTTTGTATTGTGTGTTATTTGTTATTGTCTTTCAGTAAAAAAAATTCAGTTCAAACTGGTTAGGCTGGCTAGACTAGGCTGTCTAGACTGTAAATGAAAAAGTGTGACGTCATAATCACATTGTATTTATACAGTGGATGACGTCACAATGCATAGGTAAGTTTTTTTTTTGCACACGGCACTTTACAGAGGATGCAAACAGGTATATAAGAAAACACAGGTAAAAGGTATATTTCTTTTGCACACGACCCTCAGTTTTTTGCACACGGCACTTTATAGGTGATGCATACAGGTATATATAAGAAAACGTAGGTAAAAGGTATTTTTTGCACACGGCCCTAAAAAATAAAATCCATGTATATATATAAACCAGAGCTGAATAATGAGATCATTCTGTGTGATTACTTTTAACTCAACACAGAAGTAAAATATGGCAGAGGAAAATACAAAGGAGAGATTAAAAGATGTACCAGAAACACAGGATCTTTTAGATGTAGATGAAGGAGAAGTTATTTGTGCCTTATCCTAAATCAAATGAAAGAAGCTTTTATGACATGAGATTATGATCATAATGATATAGGTGAGTTTAGAAAAGAAGTGATGGAAAAGATTCGCCATGTAAAGGAAGGAAAAAGATTACACCAGTTAGTGAAAGAAATACAAAAACTGGAGAAAGGGAAGTATCAAGAAAAAGAAAGGAGAGTCCACCAGACTCAAAAAAGGGAGGGTGAAAAAAGGTTTAGACAAAAAAGAGAAAAAGGAAAAAAAGAGAGATGGTCCAAGAGAACTAAAGGATCAAAGGGAAACTATCCCTGACCAGAAGAAAAGGGACAGAAGAAGAACAAACAGAAAATGTAAATTGTATGTATATTTTTTTCATTTGAATAAAAATTGAAAAAAATCAAAATCTGTCTTGTTTGTTTTGTTTTCAGTAAAACCAGTTCAAACCGGTTATAGGACTGTCTAGACTGTGAAGCGTGACGTCATAATCACATTCTTGTAATGTTTTTTGCACACGGCGCATTTTTTACCTGTATAGTCAGCATAAAAACAAAAAAAAAGTAGTACCTACGTACCCATGTAAACCCACCCCGTATTTAAGGGGAATAGGTTAGGGTTAGTTAGGGGGGTTAGGGTTAGGGTTAGGGGTTAGGGTTAGTTAGGGTTAGGGGGCTTAGGGTTAGTTAGGGTTAGGGTTAGGGTTAGGGTTAGGGGGGGGGTTAGGGTTAGGGTTAGGGTTAGGGTTAGGGTTAGGGTTAGGGGGTTAGGGTTAGGGTTAGGGTTAGGGTTAGGGGTTAGGGTTAGGGTTAGGGTTAGGGGGGTTAGGGTTAGGGGGTTAGGGTTAGGGTTAGCACTGCACTCAGTTGACCCACTTATCCCCTCAACCAATCAAATCTGATCACGTGATTTCTCTCAGCCAATCAGAATCTTCGAATTTAAAACATTGTTTAGATGTGCCATCTGGTTTTTCTAATTTTGTACATTTAGTTTCCCTGTAGTTCTCTCTCCGTTTAGTGCGTTTGACAAATTGATTTGTTGATTTCAGTATGTCATGTAGCACCCTGTTTTGCTTTATTACATCTTCTCACTTTATGTTCAGCGTCTGCATGTTAGTTATTGTTTCAGTCGACTCGGACTTTAATATTGTCTCCTTGGTCAGATTCTGGTTTTCCAGAAACACCGAGTTTGGAATGGACACTGCAGTAGACAAGGCATCACCGCTAGAACTGATCAGATATGCTGCTTCGGGCATTTTGGGAGTCACTGTATTTGATACTTTAGGTGGAGCAAATTCTGTTTCTAGGAACTCCGTAAACCTTCTGCTACCTTTAGATTTAGATTTGTTTTTTCTGAATTTTTATATTCTGACCACAATCGCCCAAAAGCCACTTTAATTAATTTTGGGTGAGGGTATCAATTTCTTTACATTTGTTTAAACATTTAATTCCTCAATATAGACACAGTTTTAATAGGGAAGGGAGATCCCTTGCAGAAAATATTCCTAACTTAGAAGTACATCTCAGGAATTTGCAAGACATCCAAAGAATTCTTATGATATTCTCTCATCATGATTTATTCCTGAGAATCCTGACATATGAAAAGAGGACTTCCTGGGATATCCAAGGATTTCTAGTTAAATTATTTAAACCCAGCTCTTGTTAGAACAAAATTCCCATATCCTACGACTTTGATGAAATACCAGGACATAAAAACTGATTTAAGTAAAAGAACGAAATACATGTGCATGTTCATTTTCTAAATAAATTTTATTATAGGCTAAATGATGCCATAAAAATGCTTTCAACGTTGCATTCAATACATATAAGCACATGAAAATCTCATCATAAACATAACAAAAGGCCCATTGGCCTAATAGGTCACCTGAGCATCATGCAACAGCTTTCAAATGATTGAATTTGATTCATGTTTTAAGCTAGATATTAGTAAAGCAACATGAAAATTTGTATGTGAATAAAATTTGATCAGTTTGGTTCAGGTAGGGCTTATAATTACTAGGGAATAAAAATGTAGGTCAGATCCAGAATCCGAAGCAAGTCTTGTAGTGTACATCTCTAGATGCATCATCCATGCAAATTTGTTTCAGGCAGGGCTTATAGTGTCTTGGGAATGAAAGAAAATGTAGTTCAGATTCAGCATCCAAAGCAAATCTGGTAGTGTCCATCCCTAGATGCATCAGCCATGCATGTTTGGTTCAGGTAGGGCTTATAGTTACCAGGGAATAAAAATGTAGGTCAGATCCAGCATCCGAAGCAAGTCTGGTAGTGTTCATCCCAAGATGCATCATCCATGAAAGTTTGGTTCAGGTGGTGCTCATAGTTATTTTAGAATGAAAATATAGGTCAGATTCGGCATCCGTAGCAAGTCTGGTAGTATCCATCCCATGATGCATCATCCATGCAAGTTTGGTTCAGGTAGGGCTTATAGTTACTTGAAAATAAAAATATAATTCAGATCCAGCATCCGAAGCAAGTCTGGTTGTGTCCATCCCTAGATGCATTGACCTTTCACCTTAAAATATTCAAGGTCAAAGATCACAATGCAATTGACCCCATGCTTCTACGACTTATAGTTTTCAAGTTATAAAGTTTCATAGTAAGCATAACGACGTTAAGGGATAGTAACTCATAAAAAGGGTCATCAGATCCTTTTGCACTTAAACAGTGAAGGTACGTCTAAAGACCCATGAGACATTAGTGAAGGTTTGGTGTCTCTACCGTGTACGGTTTCGGAGGAGTAGCAATAACAAGGTTTTTCGCACAAGAGGCAATAACTTATCAATTAACACTTCTCAATTTGGCAAACGTTTATTTGAAATTATCTCCGTCAAGGTCTTCCAACTCCTTCTGGAGTTTTCCTTTTTCTCGAAGATCTCTTTACTTCTTGAGGATATTTTTTACTTTTTCTTGTAAGTAGATAGAAAAATCTCCCCGAATAGCCGGTTTCCAATCTGGGGTCCAAATTCTATCCCGCATTCCGTCTTGGATCATATTTTGGATATCCACCAATTTTGCTATTTAACACAAAACAACAGTTAATTTTTTTCTAATATTTTATAACAAGGGAATTATTCAAAAGCGTAACCCAGCACAATCATTCTTATTCTCATTAATTAATATCCAAACCGGAAGTACAATGGGTAACCCTGGAGTGATCCTGAATTTCGGCCGCTAACCATGATTAGCGGCATGCAGACGGCAGAAGTAGGACGCAATCTGTTGTCCTGTTAAGAATTCTTCTCTTGTAAACGATACCAGCTGAATTTATCACTCTCGACTCGTCTCTAGCACATAGGCTTTTAAGTTCGAAAATAAATTTTATTAAAGACGTTATTGGTATCAATTTCTTTACATTTGTTTAAACATTTAATTCCTCAATATAGACACAGTTTTAATAGGGAAGGGAGATTCCTTTCAGAAAAATATTACTAACTTAGAAGTACATCTCAGAAATTTGCAAGACAAAGCTGATCAAGAAGATTAAGACATGCGCTCACCAGTAAAGAAAATTTTAATTAAAGAGTAGCATATATTTCAGATAGTACTCAAAACTTGAGGGCGAGTAGTATCGAGAGATAGATAGATAGATAATATTCAGAGTGATATATTTAGACCAAAAGTAAAATTAACATCATTTATTAAATCTATTACTTCTTTAGGCAATGATTTTTTTTTTAATTTTAAGATACAAACAACCCCTTTGATTTCATTCTTAGAGTTTCTAACGTTCCTGCCGACACAAAGCTTCCCTTTCGTGTGAAGGTGTGCTAAAAATGTTATAAAATATTTCATATACATAATTTTATATTGCAGATTGTGCCAGAATTCCTGAAGTCCAGAGGACAGTTGCTATCTCTCCATGGGTTTGTTCAGAGGGATGGCAAGGGCAACAGTCCCATCTTGCATTTGCGCTGATGTCTTCACGGTAGGAAGTAGATTATGTACAGGTAGATTTTTATTTCCTTTTATTTCATTCATCTTGTAATGCTGGTAAAATCTAAATCATATACCATTCAAAAGTGTATTTAACTCTAATAGTACATATATGTATGTTGTTTAATTTGTCATTATTTTTTCATTTTCTTGTAGGTCTTCAATGCCATACCTGAAGCTCTTCCAGCAAGGCCAGTTGTACAGATGTTCATGGTGGACTTTGAGCTTGGTAAGGGGCTTAAAAAAATCTTCAATAAAGAGGCTTACAATTTATTTCAGTTACTGGCAAAAAAAAAAATACTTAGATAAAGAGGCTTACAATTAAGGTAGTTCTATACTCGGCACTAAATGGGCTCAATTTTAAAAA